GCGACGCTGATTGCTTACCATCAGGTGATCCGTCGGCTCGTTTACCGGCTTGTGCCATAAAAAAAATCACATAGGTACATTTGTGGGAACAAATTTAGGGGATTTCAGTGCGATATATCAAGTAAACAGTACGAAATACCACCTCCTCTAGAAATGTCTCACTGTAGTGTATAAGCCTTACTTACAAAGGTGAATAATCTTATTTGTAATGAGTGCGTTCCCATGTAATCGTGTATTTAACTGAAAATGAACGAAACTTGCTGTTTGTTGATATTTGTATACTGAAACTTTTTGAGGTTTCGAAGTAAATACCTAATTAAATATTGCAACTGTTTCATTAAAAACGATTCCTAGAATCTCGTAAAGAGTTTTTGTAGAGGGCATTAACCTTTCTGTGGTTGGGATTAAAGTGCAATTTGTTTTAATCTTTTTGCTCTTATTTTTAACATTCGCTGTAGAAGGTTAAAAAACTCGATGTTCGTTTGGACAGCGCAGACGATAAAGAGAGAGATTAAAATGTAATATCCATTTATTCACCAGTTATAGTATAAATAATTTGTCAAAAAATCTAAAAAGATTACTATAATACTTTATTTAACCTAAAAATCGAATGTCTTGTTCGGCAGACGAACTTGCGACCACTCTATCGAGCACGGGCCTTAACGAATAGGACAGGACTTTACGCATTGCCGGGGCTCCGGCTCGAAGTGTAGGAGTAGGAACGTGGTGGTTTTTAGTCAGTAAGAGTCTGACACCTTCCGCCTCACCCAGGCGGGAGAAGTCATTCGATGATATTCCCCCTTTAAAAAACCACTCGATCGACGAGGCAATTGAACGTAAATTATAATTCATTGCTACATATTTTTCAGTTAACTAATATTAGAAACGTGTAATGGGTCATATCGTTCTCGTACAAAAAGTTAGTGTTCCTGCACACGACACCGTCATCACGCCGTTGCCCCGCCAACGCCAACTACTACTACTATGTACCTAGATACGTCACTGTGACGTTCCGCGCCGTGCTGTCTCCACGCGGAATAAATGAAACAGAGAGACGGTGGCGCGGTGACGACACAGTGTGCAGGGACGCTTAAGCATGGGGAACATACTAGTTTTTACTAGTTGTACATGCCATACACACATAGGTACCTACATCTTACATTTGGGTACATAAAATTAAATCGTGAACATCCATTTCTCGACCACTTTATAATAACAGTTTTGTCAAACAAACAAGTAAAACGTATTTAGTTTGATGTCTATTATTAAATTTTGCGGTCAACTGACAGATGGAGTTTTCCATGATTAACATTAATTTGTTGAAGAAATTCATAGGAATTTGTATCGATAGATATTATGGTCATTTAGCTATTTTCTGCGGATGACTCAGCGGATTTCTTAGGCTTCGGCTCAGTACAGATGTAGGAAGGTTTTAGTCGGTAAGAGTCTGACACTCCCTTTCGCCTCCCTCAAGGCGGGAGATGATATTGGATTATTTTTCCCCACTCAAAAAGAAAACTGTTTGCTTGTCAAAAGGTGACGGCAGAATACAATAAAATAATCGTCATTGCTACTCCTACTTAGGGTGTCCCTTACCCGCAGATAATATACTTTTACATCAACGGCCTTTCTCTTTTCAAAGGAGTCTCTTTTCTTTCCGTGGGTTTCCTAAGAGTCGACTAAGGGACATTATGACAGATACCGGGCAGTATCGCTCTCTTAAAAACCTGATCCTTCTAAACTGCAATCTGAAACATACCAAAAGCGTGGATATTATGGTTAACTATCGTATGTATGTACATATTTTCAAGTGAGCCACAGCCAAGTGGGTACGCCATGCTTCAGCACGAATGGTCCGGCTCGACCGGAGTTATACCACGGCCTCAGAAAAAACTGACGTGAAACAACACTAGCATTGTGTTTCGTCATGTGAGTAAGGTTACCGGAGTCCCAACTCAAATTAATATTATTATTTTGTTTATTAGATTTTTTTTTATTGTCTATTCAAAATTCTATTATTATCGTATTATTATTTTGTTATATTGTGATGTTTTGATATATTATTATTGTCTGTTCTGATCTCTATTCTTGTAAGTTTATTATTAGTATTTTGTTTATACATATGTATTTTTATTTTTTTATATTCTTTGTTTTGTGTGCGTGTAATTGCCAAATAAATGTTTTTTCTTTCTTTCTTTCTTTCAACTACCCCCCTTCCCAATCTCCCCAATCCCTGAATCACCAATCACCAATAATGCTGCTCAAATTCCTAATCCCCAAAAAGTCGATAACGCACTTACACCTTTGGTGTTTCGGGTGTCCATGGGCGGCGCCAATTGCTGATCACCATGTGATCCGTCTACTCGATTACCGGTCTATTATTTCATAAAAAAAATTTGTTATAGAAGGTCCGTAGTCAGACAGTGGAATGTCAGGTTATTGATGTGGAATATTATAGTTTTTTTAATTATTAATATTTCTGCCGACTGATGCCAACATTATTTGATTAATGACTAGATGGCGTGACTGATGAAACCATACACACGTACAATTATATTTTTTCTATTGAAAAAATTAGTTCTAGCTTGATGAGTTTAACTAGTAAAGAACGGGCTTTGTTTTTCTTTAAGTACCTACAGCATCGGCCTCGTTTCTTTTTCTTCATATTATTTTATTACTAGCTTTTACCCGCGGCTTCGCTAGCGTCACAAATGGATAAAAGTAGCCTATGTGACATATAACAATACACACAGCGCCATCTATACCAATTTATTTGTTTTTCCTCGAGAATATCAAATTTTTTCGGAATAAAAGTACCCTATTATTTATTCCGGACTTCTAACTTTACGCCTGCAAAAATTCAAAGCAATCGGTTTAGAAGTTACGGCGGGAAAGCGGAACAAACAAACAAACTCACTTTCCCATTTATTCGCTGTAAGGATTCTGCTGCCTGACTGCCTCCCTAGCCGAGTGGTCGCAAGAACAACTGCCGGGCAAGGGGCCTCGGGCTCGATTCCCGGATCGGGCAAAGTATTACTGGGCTTAAAAAAATCTCAGTAATAGCACGGAGTCTGGAATACATTGTACAGTGGTATAATGTGCATCTCTGCCTACCCCTTCGGGGAAAAAAGGCGTGATGTTATGTATGTTATCCAGTAAGTAGTTCAGTTAAGTCATCCAGTTAGCCAGTAAGTAGTTGTTACACTTATTAAAATATTATTTGTAATGATGTCATCAGTGTATGAGTGTGAATAACTGTTGATTAACCTAATAAATAAAGGAGAGAGGAAGAGAGAAATAGGAGCCGAGCAGAACGGGTTAAACCTCGCGGAAGAACCTAGTTCATTATGGTGTGAAATGCATTCTTCTACGACTCATAAGCAAAATTAATGACAATGGAAAAAAATCTATTTACAATACATTGACTTTGTGTCCTAGTCTGATAATAGATAGTTGTCCACATCAACGAGTTTATATTGACCTAGGTTTTTGTAATCTTTCCGTACATTCAACGGTCAATTTATACTGGACTGTTCTATAATAACCAATTTAACAGGGTCTGAATTTGTACGACCTTTCCGTACACTCAACGGTCAGTTTATACTGGTACTGTTTCGCTTGATACGTAGTCGTGTGTCTTATAGTTATCTCAAGAAGGTATTAGAGCTGTAATGTTGCAAACTACTTAAGTTCTAGTTATCAGACAAGTCTAGATCAAGTAAAACCAGTTTGTAGGTACATACGTGTTATCCATAAAAGGTTAATATCTGTGTTATACCTAGCTATTGATAAAAAATGGTTCAGTTTTTTCCTTTTAAATTCTAGAGTAAAAGGATTTATATAGCGTACTACCTTCGATAAATAAATGGTTTTTATAAATAAATAATAATAATAATAATAAATGGATTTTCTTTCTTTCTTTCTTCGAATGACTGCAAACCTTAACGTTTAGATCGATCTCATTCATCGACAAACCCGGAACAACAGTCTGTGGATCACACAAAGAATTGTTCCGTGCGTGCGAGAATCGAACCAGCGACACGTTGCGCGGCAGTCATTATGCTGTTACTACATAGATATTCTAAAAGATCAATCCAAATATCAACTCGATCTAGAAATCGAATACCTTCAATGTCAATGTCACCTTCAATGTCACATAATAGTCCCTAACTAATATTAATTTACCAACTAGAAACGGAATGCGGGACTTTTACCTTCAAGATGGACTGACGACAACCTGATCCATATCAAAGTTTCAAGAACCTGTTGAATGCAGGTCGCTTTCCACCAGTCGATCTGAAAATCGCTAGGGGGACGCTTCCAACTAATAAATCTAACAAAAGTCCTTCATCTTTGAAAACATCAATATTAATGTGAACAGTACAAGAATACCCTGTCTCTTTCACAACGCGAACAAGAAAACAGGATGCAAGTCCAGCACGTACAATTTACGTTTATTGACTGGGAGGATCGTTTAAACGGGAGAGTTTACTTGCCTGAAATGAGAAAATATACTTTATTAGTTCTAATTCAGTGCATAATCGTATTCAGTACGCTTAGTGTAGTAAAAAAATCAGCAGCATTATTTTGCTACATTGCTGCGTTTTTTATTCCCTGGATTTTAATTTACAATAATTAAAGAGTCCGCATAGTCTAATTTTATTGAATATGAATTTAATATTTTTATTAATTCAGTTCATATCTATATGTAATACTCATATCAAGGTATACCAAAACATATTGTCATATATCAGACACAAAACACCGTCAGGACGAGCAGATTAAAAACAAAAATAATTAAAAACAAGTACCTACTCAATTCGATACCAACTAATAATGAAATCATCTAAACACAATACACAACAACAATTTTGATTTAACTCACGAAACAATACCAATACAAAACAGATATATTTATACACATTATGCACACAAAATGATAAACAAACTTCTAGACTAGTATAGTAGCAATCGTTCAAATGCTCCTGCGCATTAAACGTTTAAACTGAGTACACACACGCGCCAGGCGTCACGTCTTCAGCATTATTTTTTAATAGAACGGTTATTTTATCTGTGAATATTAAAAAGCCTGTAAAATGTACTGCTGAAAATCATTGAAGGATAATGTGTCTTAATTCCGAGTGATAACGTTTATTGTTGTGTGAATTTTGATTATAATGGTGGGTTTATAGTGTTTGGTAAAAAATATTTTTTTTAATATTTTGTTTTTTTTTACATTACGTACTTAATTTTTAAAAAAGGATTTTATAATTATCTTGTAGAGTTTTCACCGCGTGTGTAACATTTGTTTGATTATAATAATAATAATTTCTTAACAATAAAATATAACACGAATAAAATATTGAATAAATAGTACACCTTATCTCTTACAACAAATCTAAGACCGCTGTATTGATAAATATTATGACAGACTCAAGACAATCCACAATACAATTGAACATATATTTTACATTCTATAAAATACAACAAAATAAAACTCAAATACAATACAGCACACACTTATCAGTATTCGGTATTATGACGACAAAAACCAGAATTATAGACAAGGATTAAAAAATAGATAATGAGTTCACATTCGCTTTAAAAGTAGTTTGTGACAGCCTGCTTTAGCGTCAGTAAGAGTGCATACCATCGAACAAACTGGACTGCTAATCGAATAATTAATAAAATAAAAAATGAAAATGTTATTCGAATATTTATTTATATATTTCGTGCATTGTAAATGTATTGTGCAAAAAATAACTAATCCTAATAAGGCTGTGAGTGATTTTTTTTAAATTTTAGTTTTTAAATTTGTAGTGAAGTGAAAGTGAGTTCTAAATTTAAAAGTATATTTGAGTGCTAATTTTAAATACCGTTGCAAAACTTGACTTGTGTTTGTGATCAGTAAAAAACAAAACTAAATAAAAATTACGGGTTTTTAACAATAAAATTTTATTGTTAAAAACCCGTAATTTTAAGATAAAACAAGTTTTTATTTAATTAAATAAAAACTTGTTTTATTTTGTCTTATCTATAAAGTAAGATAAATAAAATAAATTATGATGAGTATCGCTGAACAATTTAATAGAAATCTTCTTGGAATATCCATTAACCGCTACTTACGTAAAACGTATACCTTGATTAATTACAATATAATTATACAATTGTATTTATTACTTTTACTGTCCATTTTAATAAATTAAAAGTTTATTTTATTCCTATTAAAAAGATGATTTATAAAATAAACAGTTAATTTTAAATTTAATATTTATTGAAATAAACTTTCTTTCGAAGTGTCAAATTAAAATGATAGAATGTGACATAGAAACTCGCCCTTATATATAAGAGTAGAGATAAGGTGTATGCAAACAGTAGATAAAATATAAAAGGATCATATTTAAATAGTGATTTTCTTTCAGACGACTCATGTAGACAGTACGTGTAAGAGTATAGACAGAGATAGTAGTGAATCAGTGAAAATGGTGTACACGATAACTCAACAGAATATTTTACAGAAACAAAAAGAAACGAAACGATGTTTGTGGAAGGAATTACTTATAGCCGTGCTTGGTATGTTGATTTTTTTTTATTTTGTTTTATATTGTTTAATTATTTTAGTAATTGTTTTGTTTTTTTGTTATGTTAGTTTTTATCTATGGATTCTCACTACTTCGACTTTGTTATGGTTTTATATATCAATTATTTTGATGTACGTATTATTTATCATCTTTTTTTTGTAGTTAAGTAGGTACAGCCCTGTGGCCCTTACCTAAATTTGAAACTCTAAAGAACCTTTAAAATTGTTGAATTGACATTCAGATTCCAATTAATAAATTACAGATAAGAGAGGCATTGCCCCTTAGTTTGTAATAATAAGAATATAAATACTGCTTCAGAAGCCTTTACTTATTCTGGATAAGCAGACTTGTATCCTTTTAAAGGATAGACTGCAAGACATAGACCCAAAATATAATTGTTATAATACTACCTAAAAAGAAAACAATCGTGACATGAATAAATATAAAACATCCTTTAATGGCGACTAACGGACAATGCAATGTCGATACTATTGCTCATATAAACAAGGTCACTTTTAGTTTGTAGTTTCCTCATGGAGAGTACGAAAAACAATAAGTATTTGTTTAAGTAAACCATAGACAGGTCCCTTTGAAATACAAGCAATTACAGAATATTATTATAGTACTTACAAAAGATACCTAAAAGTTCATATATAAACAGAAAATCGGACTGCCTCGTTGACCGAGTGGTCGCAAGTAGACTGCCGGACAAGGGGTCTCGGGTTCGATTCCCGGGTCAGGCAAAGTATCACTGGGCTGTTTTCAAAAATCTCAGTAGTAGCACGGAGTCTGGAATTGTGCCTGGTATATGACAATAGGCTCACCCTTATTACATGGGACTGTTAACATAAATAGTGAAAAGTAGGTGTTACATTATACAGTGGCACAATGTGCACCTCTGCCTACCCCTTCGGGGGATAAAAGGCATGATGTTATGTTATGTTACAATGCAATTAAAAACAAAATAAAAATAATGACCATAGGTATTGTGAAACTGGCAGAAAATATGTCTTCAAAACTGCGACTGCTGGAGAAGGGGTCTCGGTTCGATTCCCGGGTCGGGCAAACTATCACTGGGCTGTTTTCAAAAATCTTAGTAGTAGCGCGGAGTTTGGAATTGTGCCTGGTATATGAAAATAGGCTCACCCACTATTACATGGGACTGCTGATCATTGACTTCCACCCAGAGACTTATAAAGAACCTACTTATTAACAACTTTGTTCCTTCACATCACAAATAAAACGAATAATTATACATTTATATAATTCGCAATAAACCGGTTGAATTGTTTATGGAATAGTGATTAAAATTCAAGTTTTTAAATAACACTAGTCGAGTCTATACTTAGTTGTTTTAAATTGTATTTTGATACAATAATATTTAAAGAAAGATTTCATTCATAGTCTTAACTATCTTTAGATAAAGTTGATTTAGGTACGTCATCTGTTTTTTTTTTAATATTGTTCCACCAACATCTTCGTCATCATCATACAGAATAAGTCCACTGTTAAATAATGGCTCAAATTAACTCGTCGAGTACCGTCATTATAGACACAATTATAGAACAATAGGTTGCGGTCACCGGTGACCGCTTGGTGTTTGACAGTTTAAATAATAACTGCCTCGTTGGCCGAGTGGTCGCAAGTGCGACTGCCGGGCAAGGAGTCTCGGGTTGGATTCCCGGGTCGGGCAAACTATTACTGGGTTTTTTAAAATTTCTCAGTAGTAGCATGGAGTCTGGAAATGTGCCCGGTATATGGCAATAGGCTCACACCCCCTATTACATGGGATTCATAACATAAATAGTGAAAGTGGGTGTTACCTCTGCCTACCCCTTCGGGGATAAAAGGCGTGATGTTAAGTTATGTTATGTTAAATAATGACTTAAGAGCGTGACCTCTTTTAAAAGCTTTCAACGAGTTTGTAACAGCTCTGGCATTACAGATAGCCATTATCTACTCTACAGCCTATAAGTGGTCACTGTTGACTATAGCCTTCTTCTCGCACAAAGAAGGTTTCAGCATTAATCACCACGCTTGCTCAATTCGGGTTGGCAATTTTAAACTTACAATTAGAAATTATAAACCCAGGTATCTTCACGGTATTTTCCTTCATCGATTTGTCAGGTGTTCATAAGCAGCATTATCGCTTACCATCAGCTCATTTCTCTCCTAAGTCATTGAAAGCCTCTTATAATGGACTTTGTCATTCTTGTGTACTTATCCCAAAATATTATATTACTTAAATTAATGTGCATCTTAAAATTTTGAAGACATATTTTCTGCCAGTTTCTGAATACTCATTCAGTCAGTATTTTTATTTTATTTTTAATTGCATAGTATTTATGTATATTAATATATTACTTTATAATTTTGAATATGGGTTTAATTGTGGGAGAGCCATGCTTCGGCACGAATGGGCCGGCTCGACCGGAGTGATACCACGGCCTCACAGAAAACTGACATGAAATGAATGTTATGTTTCTTCGTGTGAGTGAGCTTACTGTAAGCCTAATTGCCCTCCCTCCCCAATCTCCCCAATCCCCGAATCCTCCACAATCCTCAAATTCCCGATTTCCAAAAGGCGGGAAACACACTTGTAACTCCTTGGTGTTTCAGGTGTTTACGGGCGGCGCCGATTACTTACCATCAGGTGATCCGTGCGCACGTTTATCGGATCATGCCATAAGAAAACCTATAAAACTTGATATAAATAAATTATTTAAAAATATTTTAAGACCAGCTTCTTGACTTCTTCATACCGATTTCATGATGTCTGTCTTATAGCAGTTGCTAGTGATGGTAATATTATGTTAATCTAGATATTTCCAACTAGGCTTAATAGGGATGATGGCAGGGTATGAAAAAAAATGTAATTAGTCCGTAAGTAAGATAATGAAAAAATATTAGACACATATTTTTTTATTTTATCGTATAATAAAACAATACTTAGATAAAACGAATCAAAATTTAGGAGTGGGGGCTAAAACGTCATTTCTACGTATAAAATGTATATAGAAGTGACGTCACGCGACATTTCAAATCAATATATCGTCAAAAGTATTCGTTACAGTAAGAAAATAAAAAATACGTGTCTAATGATTTTTTTTCATTTAATTTTTTTTTTTTTTTTTAAATGATTTAAAATAATCTACCAGACGGACATTGAAATAAAAATTAGGCATCTACCCTTTTACATTGACTTTTAATTTGGTCTAAATTGGTGTTTACCACAATATTGTTACCAAGAATTCGAGATTGCCTCGTTGATCAAGATCGCGTGAGGTGAAAGATTCAATACTGGGGTTAATTTTTGTATTATCCGCTTCAATGATTTTGTTAACTACCTGATAATTAGCTAGTAATGATGTCGATTGTTTACACGCGAATCTGAATTACATTATCTAGTGTTTTAGGTTTAATTCTCAATTTACAGAAATTAAGTTCTCAGTAAAAGTGCGTTATTTGGAATTCATTGACGTATTTTGTTATTGGTTCTTCCCCGGTAACAAATATTGAGAAACAGCCTTAACCTTTTAAAACCAAGTTTGACTAAGTTGGTCTTCTTCGAATGTATGCTAGACAATAGGATGCTTTCCTTAATCAAACGTAAATTAATTCGACTGTTCAATACAGAAATACATTTAAAAATATTCACACTGTCATTAATTGATTTTATGACCAACTTAATGTTAATATTTTTCCAGCGAAATTTTAAGAAATAAGTACGCTGTTTGAGGCTAAAAAACGTGACGTCACAGTATATAATCTGTACAACAAACGAAAAAAGTATTGAATTTGACTAGTTGGCAAGTACAAGTTAAATAGTGTGGGAAGGTACGCCGAGGGGACATAATCATCATGGACGAGCGTACGGCGCGTCCCGTTCCGCGCGCGCCTCAAAGAGCCATCAGACCACCACAGATGGGGCCCAATACGGCCGATGCCGATTCGGAGTCGCGGAGAACCTAACGGGTAACCGGGGCTCCGACTCGACGTGCAGGAGAAGGAACAGGGTGGTTTTTAGTCAGTAAGAGTCTGACTCTCCCTCCCGCCTCACCCAGGCGGGAGCAGTCATTCGATGATTTTCTCCCCTTAAAAAAAAAAATCATCATGGACATGAATAAATGTACAGTTGTCTTAATGACCAGACCATACCTGACCATACGGTCTTGAACTATTTCGACCACAACGACTTGACTTTACTGAGAATGTTACTCAGTGACTGACGCCTTGCAGTAAATTTTGCAGGAAACATTCGTCCATATTTATTGCAAGAACAACTCTCCTGTTTTAATATCTACTAGACGGTCAAGCGTTAAATTTTATCATATAGGAACCAGAGTGACTGATAAGCTACACTTCCCTGTCAAAGTTAAAGTCAAGGCATTTATTTCACTTAAATTAAATCGTCGAGTACCGGTTTTGTAGACACAATTATAGAACAATAGGTTGCGGTCACCGGTGACCGCTTGGTGTTTGACAGTTTAAATCAAAATTTAGTACTTTTCAAATGTCAACAAATACAGTGAAACTTGGTTAAGTGGGACCTGGATAAGTGAGAAACCTCCATGACTGGAACTCATGCGAAGGTCCCAACACTTTGGCACTGAATTACCTCTGTTAGTGGGACGAGGTAAACTTTATATCTGGGATTTGTTCTTTCGATTTATTATCATAGTTACCTCTATAACTGAGACAGCGAGTAATACATAAACCTCTGTAACTGAGATAACATTGTTTGTATACTCATTCTTATTCTACCCACAAATTCCATACGTAATTCCAAGTCCACCTCTATTAATGGAACCCTCTGTAAATGAGACATATATTTATTTATACCTGTATATATGAGACACTGGGTAAGTGGAATACCTCTATAAGTGAAACAGCATTGCAGGTCCCTTGATGTCGCACTTAACCGGATTTTACTGTACAATATAGTAAATAATAGTCTGTCAGTCTAGCCGTCAGTGTAGCTAATCATTTGCA